TAATGACTCCGAGATCCCTTTCCGCCTCTGTGCTTTCCAGAGGGGAACTCCCCAGCCTGTATGTGTGCTATGGATTCCTTCTCCCCAGGTGCAGCACCCTGCATTTGTCTATGTTGAACCCCATCCTATTCTCACCTGCCCACTTTTGTAGTCTGTCTAAATCTAGTTGCAGCCTCTCTCTCCCTTCAAGTGTGTCAACCTCGCCCCACATCTTAGCGTCATCAGCAAACCCCAGATCAGGTAACAAGAAATAATTAGAGACTTTGTTATAAGTTAATGATTGAATAACTGGACTGTAGAAACTTTTTTAATGGTGCTCTATCCGAAGTGGGGGAAGAATCCTGTCGGTCAAAGAAGCTGTTTCGATAGTTGTTGTTTTTTTCTCCTTTATTTTTTTTTGTTTCATTGTGGGTTTCAAATATGACAATGAAGTTATGAACAGGATGTGTCCACAAATGCCCAGAACCATGTTACTTATTGTGAAGTAAGCAGATCTCTGCTCACGGAGAAAAAAAAAAGTAAAAAGAAAGATTATTTTACAACTGCGACCATAGCACAGAGTTGCCTGTGTATTCTTTTTCGAATAAACTCCCATCAAGTCGTGGCAGGCGAGTAACACACGGGAGAAACTCTGAGTCAAAGCATTTCTCTCTATAATTGATTTAGGAATCATACTCACTCACAGTTCCTACTAGCCAAAATGGATCAGTCCCTGCGTGGGGATGATTCCAGCCTCCCTTTCTGCAAAGTAAAAGGCCAAATGGCTGCTTCTCTCCTACAGCAGCTCCAGCAAGAAAGTGGGAACATGGGGAAAGTCCAGCTGGGAACCTGCTAATAAGGTTAGGGCTCCACTTCCCCCATAGCCACAGCCATGTAGGGCTGCAATTCCTATTGGATGATGGCATTCCCACCAGGAGGGATACAGACACTAAATCTTTCCTTTTAATGAATCTCCCCTGGGTTCAGTTTCCAGAGACCCCGAGTGCTGCTGAGCAAGGTGAAGTTGGAGGTGGTTATTTAGTGTCCAGCTTCACATCCCACATAGCCTGGGTCAGGTTTCTTGTTAACTTTGCTCCCGTGATGATCCCTCTCACCACTACTATGTCAAAACCTCCAGTTTTACTGTCTGTGAATGCCCAGTGAGCCTCTGAATATGTGAAATGGACCTTCTCCTCTGTCCCTGTCCCAGTTTATCCAGATCCTTCCTTGTCACTCGTGGTAGAAATGGATGCATCCACCACCATAATAGGTGCGGTGCTCTCCCAATGGCAGGGCCCAGGCCATGTTCTTAATCCCTGAATCTTCTTTTCCTGTAATCTCCCCAGCAGATCAAAACCTTAAGATTCTGACCTGTGAACTCATGGACACAAGAGTAGCTCTTGGGAAGTGTAGCACCAAGTACAGGTCCTTACAGAGAAGAAAAACCTACAATAATTGCTAATGCCTCAGGCATTCAACCAGAGGAAGCTTTGCCCTCTGGTTTTCTTCCACTTTGACTTTCAAACAATGTATGAGCTGGGGTCTAGACATGGGAAAGCATTACATATTACAAAACTAGACATCGAGCCATTGATTACTACCCTCTGAGCCCAATGCTCCAGCCAGTTTTCTATCCACCTTACAGTCCTT